TAATTGCATGAAATTTAGCAACATAAATTTGCTATTATCTCTGGTGGATTCTGATCATGGACATAGACTTAAAAGTCATATTGCAAAACCTGTCATGCCCATATGACTCTTTCTCTAGCACTATTGTCTCTGTAGATGTCAGTGAAAGAGAACCACCCACTCCCATGAATTGGATAGTTTTATTTCCTATGGCCGCTCCACTATTAACTTTCAATGGGCAGATTACAAAAACCAAATATAAAGATTCTCAGATTAGAAACTTTTTAAATGGAGCCCAAGATAAGTAAGTTTTTCAGGATCATTTTTAACTCTCAAATTTTAAAACTTCCATATGGCATTACTTCCAAAATCTGAATAACATATAAATGCAATGACATCATCCTTTCCAGTGATTTACTGAAGAATGATTTGTTGAGATTTACTGACACTACAAATGTTGAGCAATTTACATTGATTACTTAATTTGATCCTGCCACTGACCCTGCGAAGGTGTATTTTATTATCCTCATTATGCAAATAAGAATATTGAAGCTTATAATGGTAAGCCTGGGCCTCAGGTCCAGAGTTGTCTGGCTCTAAGACTTAGCATCTTAAGTAGCAGTGCTACCATTTTTACCATCTCCATTTTTCTGTAGAGAGTAAACTTTTTTTCCGGTTTTTTTTGTTTGTTTGTTTTTTGTTTTCATTCAAATGCAGTGCACTCGTTGAGCTGGTAAAACACAAACCCAAGGTAACAGAGGAACAACTGAAAACTGTTATGGGGAATTTTGCAGCTTTTGTAGACAAGTGCTGTGCAGCCGATGACAAAGAGGCCTGCTTTGCTCTGGAGGTACTGGAGTTGTTTGCCTTCATTTTCACATGTCTAATTTCCTTTGCTGTTGCATTTGATCAAGCTAGGGGTTAGTGGTTGAAGTATCTGAAAGACATTATGTGCATGTAGAACAGGAATCTTATTCTTCATACAATTGTCTTACCAAATGACTGAAATAGCTCTTTTTTCTTTTAAATCTCCTGCTGCACTGTAGTTTATTACTAAGTGTTTGTAATGTTTGTTCTGTTTCCAAAGTTGTGATGTTTATGAATATAGATAGAAATATTTCTAAAGCCTGAGATGTTTTGGTAGAGGCATCATCAAACCAAAGCATTAATTTATTTAAACATTTTCTTGAAAATGCTGGTTTGTGATTTGGTTGAATCTGAATGTTTATTTTACAGGTTAGTGTGGAAATTTATATTTAGATGTCTGAATCATTTAATATTCCCCCTATGACTTGACAGTAATTTTTTTATTCCTTTTGGGGCAATGATGCTGGTGAGCTTCCTTCTAGAGATTCTAGCACTAAACTGTTATTAAGGGATGTGATGTACATAAAATTACTTTGTAATCACCAATGGCTGTATAAATGTTACTTTTTTACCCTAATAGTGGTGCTAATATTTTCCCCACATCTGTCATTTCTTTGTATTTAGGGTCCAAAACTTGTTGTTTCAACTCGAGAAGCCATAGCCTAAAAAGAACACAACCACAAGCATCTCAGGTAACTACACTTTAGACTGTTTTAAAAAACTAATTTTAATAGTTATTATTAAAATAGTAAAGATCAACTGACCAGTGCTAACCACTGTTCTAAACTGATTATATATATTAACTTCTTTACTTCTCAAAATAGTTGCCTGAGTTGAGTACCATTATTATTCCCATTTTGCAGATGAGAAAATGAAGGCATAGATCAAGAAATAGGTTAAATAATTTACCCAAGGACTACCCAACCACGGAGCCAAAATTAAAGATTCAAACCAGGGCTTGAGAGTTAACCACTGGCCTGTTCTGACCCAATGTGACACAGAAGACAGAGTCATTCTACTATGCACTGGCTCAGGAGTGGGAAACTTTAGGCAATAGGCTGGACCATATGAAAGTGCATTTTTGTATGTACAAAAACAGTTCAATATCAATGATTTCATATGGTTCAACCATATAGCTCAAGAACAAATTCATTTCATTGGAGAATATGATAGGTCTACCTTATGTGAACTTTTATTACAAGTAAATAATTTGCTACTAAGTTTCCAATGTGTCAACATGCTGAGCTTTAAGAGAATTTCTCTTCTTATGACAAAAAGGCCCACTTTAAAATTTAGATGTTTGAACATAAACATGTTTTATCCATTTTGGTGTAGTATTTTGGGGGAAATTATAATAAAAAATAGAATGAACTTCCTTTTCGAAAAAATTTGTCCAACTATTTTTTAGCATGAATTATTTTCATATTTTTTAAACTGTGATGTTTATTCCACTATTAGATTTTAACTTGCTCTTTGCCTATATGGTAAAACCTTCATATTGTGCATTCAGGAAAGGAACCAACTTCATATCTTTGCAAATTTGGGCATTTCAAAATGTGATTTGCTTTAGTCCTAAATGGCAAGATTTTCTTCCTAGAGGTCTAACTTTGAGAAGACAACTTTTTTGTTTGTAATTAACTTAAGTAAGAAGTAGGTGTTGGGAATTCCCTGGCAGTCCAGGGTTAGGGCTCCACGCTTCCACTGCAGGGGACACGAGTTTGATTCCTGGTCCGGGAACTAAGATCCCACAAGCCGCACTGTGTGTTGTGGCAAAAAAAAAAAAAAAAAAAGTAGGAGTTAAGTAAATGACCCTGAGAGTTAATGATGAAAAGCCTGTGTGACGAAGACAGGACTTTACAATCCTTATTGCTGTGTCCTCTCCCCTAGTCCAACAGAAGAATTCAGCTGCCATGAGTCTAGGAGAGGCTTGAATTGTTTTCATTGGTGGAAATTGCGGAAAGGCAATCTAAGCAATTTGGCATTCATTTGAAGAGATTTGAAAAAACACATGCCATTTTATAAACAGTAATTATATTTATCTTTTTGTTTTTCAGCCTACCCTGAGAGTAAGAGGAAAAAAAGAGAAATGAAAACTCAGAGCTTATTCATCTGTTTTTCTTTTCTGTTGGTGTTAACCAACACCCTGTCTTAAGAACACAAATTTCTTTAAATATTTTGCCTCTTTTCTCTGTGCTACAATTAATAAAAAAATGAAAAGACTCTAACATAATTGTCCATGACTGTTCTTTTTCAAAGATGTGTTGCCATCCTGAAAATTTTGTAGGTGCTATGAAAGTTCCACTGTTCTCTCCCCATTTCAGTGGAGGACTTCTAGTTCCTTATGGGTTAGTTATGTAAAAGAAACATTAATACTGTTCTGAGTTATGGATTATAAGCATTCAATGTAATATTTTAACATTATGATAATTCTGGATAAAAGAATAGAAACTGTGGTATAGGTAAGGCATACAAAACATGGCTTCTTCTTACTACTAAGACTCAATTATAAAGGTGGGGGACCAAAAAGATAGAGAGGATTGTAAGGATATAGTAGTCCTCCCTTATCTGCAGGGTATAAGTCCCAAGACTCCCAGTGGATGCCTGAAACTGCAGAGAGTACCAAATCTTATATATACTATGTTTTCTTCCTGTACATACCTACCTATGATAAAGCTTAATTTATAAATTAGGCACAATAAGAGATTAACAACAACTAATAATAAGACAGAACAATGATTACAATATACTGTAATAAAAGTTATGTGAATGTGGTGTCACTCTCTCAAAACACCTTATCGTACAATTTTAATGCCTTTTCCATCTTAACTAAGCACTTTTCACGCACTGTGGCCATAACTTTTGCAGTTTGCAGTGTGAGAGCAAGACTAGTATGAATATCTTTTTCCTTCTTCACATTTCACAGATAAAAGATATGTCCTTAACATAGATCTTAACACGCTCGGTGTACAATTCTTTTTCTTTCCATATTAAGTTGAGAATTTTCACCTTTTCACTTAAAAGGAGCACTTTATGGCTTCTCTTTGGCAGACGTGAATTGCCAGCATCATTACCCTTGTACTTTGGGGCGATTATTAAGTAAAATAAGGGTGACTTGAACACAAGCACTGTGATCCCATGACAGTTGACCTGATAACTGAGAGGGTTACTAAGTGACAAACAGGTGGGATATGCTGGACACAGAGATAATTCACGTCCAGGGCAGACAGCGCGAGATCCCATCATGCTGTTTGGAACAGTGTGCAATTTAAAACTTATGAATAATTTATTTCTGGAATTTTCTATTAAATGTTTTTGGACCGTGTTGACCTGAGAAACTGAAATGGCAGAAAGTGAAGCCATGGATAAGGAGGACTAGGGTAGTTAACTGAATTAGGAAAAAAAATGATCTTAGAAGAAATTTAAGACAGTTTAGGATGACAATACAAGAAGAATGTAAGAAGTTTAACAAGTTTGGAGAAGCATTATTGGAAGAGAGGATTAAGAAGTCTGGACAAAGGTACACTAATGGATAATTAAGATATCTTGAACTGAGGAAGTGCAACAGTTAGAAGGTGAAATTTTCTTGTAAAAAATTAAGATTTTATACTCAACACTGAGCCTGTTTTCCCTGTTCCTAGAGGTTGCCACTGATATTAGATCATTGTCTATCAATTACATACTTAAAAATCATTTATAACCTTATTGGTTTGTGTATTTTTAAAATTTTTATAAAGTTGGTTTCATACTGTACATTATTCACAACTTGCTTATTTTGTCCCTAATAATAATGCTTTACAGTTTTAAGTATGATGCTTACAAAGATTTTTGTACCAAGTTAAAAAAGGCTCCACACTCCCTCTCTATTGGCCCTCAACCCCTGTTTTGACCTGATGTTGACTGTATCAAATGTTTTTCCACATCTGTTGCTATCATCAAAAAGCTCAAAGAGAGCCTTTAAGGGGAGAAATGGAGATGGTGGGCTCCTGGCAAATCCTGGAGTCAGACCTTGAAAATTTTGATTAAGACATTTCCACAGAACTGGATCCACATGGGACCAGGATCTACATGCCCTGTCTGGATGGTATTGCAGCCCAGGCACTGAAAGCGGACTTGAAAATTTTGGAGAAAGACTCTCCAGAATGCAGAACTCCAAGAGCCTTGCTTCCCCCCTGCACACAGGGTCAATCAGATTCCTGAGGGGAATTCAGACACTTGAGTCTAAGAGTGATCCAGGAGCCCAAGGCCCTCTCTGGTTCTGAGAGGTTGGCCGGGCAAGCGCAATTTCCAGTCAAAATATCATTTGCCACCGTTACTTAGGTCAACTCCATTCCCCCTCCATCCACGTAAGTAAGGTTATGACTGATGAGTTTTGTGTGACTCACACTGGACACAAGAGGAGTTTGGGGTCTGGGCTGTTAACTGACCCTTAGGCTTGAGCTGCATGTGTGGTCCCATCCAGCAGCTCTTTGTTGTTTGTGTCCCCATAGGGCAGCCTCTGTTTACAGTACACAAAGGTGGCAGGGGTCTGGCAGGCATCCTTTATTCAATGTGCTCCCTGATGCTGGCACCCAGGGTGGTCACTCCAATTCCTCCACAATCTCCACATAAAGCCTCCTATAGTCTTTAGGGGTGGATATATTTATCTCTTCCAAGGGCTTTGGAGATCATTCCTCCATAATGCCCCTGGACCCTGCCAGTCAACATCCTCTCTTGCCTTCATCACCGTGGTTACATTGTGCTCCCCTGGGTTGGTCTTGAGCCCTGCCAAACACCCCTTGCAAGGATAGGGTCACTCTTCTTGCTTCACCCCAGGTCTCTCACCCATCCTCCCAGTTGATGGTTGTGTGTGGAAGCCAGGAGTGCAGTTAACATTGAAAGAGATCACATTCTAAAAATGCAGTGATTATGATCTAAGAGTTCAGGAAAAGACATGGTTGGAAGATGTGTTGATCTATATGTATGCTAAGAAAGTTGTAATGGTAAGTTTAAGATAACCAGAGACTTGCATTTGTGGTTATCGTCAGTGAAGCACAATAATAACATTTAAGAGAGTCATTGGAAGCCAGAATTCATGGTGATATGCTGGATGCTAAATCATCATGAATAACGATGTAACCAGATTAAAGAAATGAATTGAGAACTATAGTGGCAAGAGGATTTATTTGTTTCAATGCAAATAAGCTCCAAGGAGCCATCACATCATGAGAAATAACAACATTCTTACCTTTTTTGTTGAGATGGTAGATGTAAAATTAGCCAGGAAGGAGATGCCTTTGACAATACAGAAGATAGTACCAAAACAGAGGTGGTACCTGGACCTGAACAGGAAGATATGGTGCCAGGACATTAGGAAGAATCTTCATGTTCACTGAGCAGACAATGAGGAAGTATGTAAGTATCACTTCTCTACTCATTATTCTAAATCTTAATTGATAAATTAGTATACTTCACATAGATCCATGCTGGTGCTGCATAAGTCCAGAGGACATCACTACCATAGAATAAAATGTGAAGGGTGCCTTCCACAGTTGAACAACATGAGCTCAGTTATTTTTATTACTATTGTTAACATTTTAGAGATTTGGTTTATGAAGGGGCAGCTGAGAGTGTGAGAAGACTGCTGTTTTATAACTGATGTGTTGGATATATGGGAATTACACATGAATCACATCATTTCTACCTTATCGTCTCATCTAACAACTCTTTTTGTTCCTCTTAGTCACTTTATTAAGTGACTCACTATCGTTTCAATATTTTTTTCACCTTTCCTTTGATATTCTAATCAGTTTCCACTTCATAGTATTCATGAACACACCATGCTTTTTCATGCATGCTTTTCCCTTCTACCTGGTATGTCTTTCTCTCTATTGTTTATCTGCTTAATTCAACTCAAAGGTCACCTTCTTTGAGGAAATTTCCGTGCATAGAGTTAGTTATTTCCTTCTCTGATGCCCCATTCATTCTTTGAACTTGACTTATTACAGGATTTATATTTTATTATAATTACGGTAGATTTTATATCCATTTTAAATATGTGAAATCTGAGTCCTAGAGCTGGAATTTAAACACACATGGTTCTGACTCCTGGGAGCCGGCCCATTTAATAGTATCAATTCATTTATATGTCTCTCTCTTCAACTAGATATTGTTTCTTGCCAGAGGGGACCACGAATTAGAAGTCCATGCATCTCCCTTGGCACTAAGCATAACCTGATATATAATGGATATTCAATAAAAATTACATGAATAAATTGACATGCTATGGGGTGTAAATATTCTAAACTACAAATTACAGAATCCTGACTTACAGCAATTTCCTGGGCTTCCAAAATACTAGATATAGTAAGTTGAACTTTATGTTAATTTGAATCATGAAAGTTTATGTTTTAATATGATAATAGTGATACATTTTATTTGTAAAATGTTAAGTAATGAAAATTCCCTCAAATTAAAATAATCAAGAACTGCATATTTAAAACTGATAGACCTGGTAATGTTCCATATGATGGTGTCACTTTTGCATCAGTCCAACTAATCCAAACGTATCCTAATTATCTCTCTTATGTGAGTAACTGATGAATAAATACATGAATATTTGCATGACACCAAAGAAAGTGCTTTAGCGCTTTGAGATCTATCTTTTGGGAAGGGTAAGATCTTTTTCTGACTAATGAAAAATTTTATATCCATAACATGTTACATATGATGGTTGATATGTATGTGGATTAATAACCATTTTTTCCCATTTTATTTAATTCGTGTGCAACTTGTGTAATTTCTTCAGCAATAGACTATAAGCAATTACTTGGACAATTTCTGAAAAATGCTGCATCAAATGAACAGATCACTTTTAGAATATTTATTCTTTATCTCCTCCCAGGTCTTACTCAGTTCAGTTTGTTGCAAATTTCTTCATTCATTTAGTTGATACCTGGACTCTAGGAACTGGTTCCTTAAAAAAGCTGAACTTAAGAATCTCAAGAGAAGGGCTTCCCTGGTGGCGCAATGGTTGAGAGTCCGCCTGCCGGTGCAGGGGACACGGGTTCGTGCCCCGGTCCGGGAGGATCCCACATGCCATGGAGCGGCTGGGCCCGTGAGCAATGGCCGCTGAGCCTGCGCGTCCGTAGCCTGTGCTCCACAACGGGAGAGGCCACAACAGTGAGAGGCCCCCGTACCGCAAAAAAAAAAAAAGAATCTCAAGAGAAGAATTGAATTAAGGAGCACTATGAATGGAGAATAAAGAGTAGGACCACTGAGGGTGTTGTAAGTGACAGACAGAGGAAGTCCATCCTCTTTGGGTGGGCTGGATCCTCACCCACCTCAGATGGAATAATTCGGTTGGTGATTTGAGAAGCCACACAGTTGAGTATCAGGAGTCACAAACATCTTCCAGTGATGGAAGGGGCATCAACAAGGCAGATGAACACCCTAAAGTTTCAGATAAGTTTAGCCCATGTCATTGGGCTCAGCTCTAGGGCACTGAAGCAGAAGTTGTAAGGGAGCAGAGTGCAGAGTTAGCTCCAGCAGCTGGTAAGAAGAATGTGTGCCCAAACTAAGAATGCCTCTGCACTGTGGGAGAGATGCTCCCTTGATTTCTTTTTTATTGTAAATTGCAACAAGGAAAAAAATGTAGAACTCCGCAGCCATATTCAGATATTCACTCCACTGCTTCTTCCCAGTGCTGAAGGATCGGCTCTTCTATGTTCAGAACGACGTTCAGAACCGTCTTGGACAAGAGAGCTGGCCTCCCTAACTTTGTGATGGGGTGAACGAAAGACACATTGCTTGAGGTAAAACTGATTCAGTGCAAGAACGATTATGAGGTATTGAGGATGGGAATGGAGATGTGCTCTGACCCATTTTATTACCTTTCTCATGACAGAAATTGTGAGGCCACAGCACAATCCACTCACAAATTTCTTTCCTCCCACAGAATACTGGAGAGCACATATGTTCTCATTCTTTTTCAGGAACATCAAAAGCAAGCCACATTTCTCTAAATAAACAGAACCTGTTTAGAATGAGGTAGTTTACGTTCTGGGGTGCAGTGTGATTGGCTTAAGAACAATAGATAATAATTCTATTTTTTATTCTATATATTTCTCATGAAAATAATGCATGTTTACAGGTGTGCGAGTGTGTGTGTGTGCTTTAGTCAGCTTGGGCTGCCATAACAAAATACTGTAGACTCGGTGGCTTAAACAACAGAAATTTATTTTTCTCTTAGTTCTGGATGCTGGAAAGTCCAAGATAAGTATCTAGTAGGGTTCAGTTTCAGGTGAGTGTTCACTAGGTGGCTTGCAGATGGCCACCTTCTCACTGTGTCCTCACAGGTGAGAGAGAGAGAGAGAGAGAGAACACAAACGCAAGAGTGCTCTCTGATGTCTCTTCTTATAAGGACACTAATTCCATCTTGGGGCCCCTTGCTCATGACCTCATCTATGCCTAATTACTTGCCAAAGGCCCAGTCTCCAAATACCATCACACTGGGGGTTAGGCCTTCAACATATGGACACAAACATTCAGTCCATAAGAGTGTGTGAAACCTCTGGACCATGTAGGGGATTTTTCTGAATCTCCTATGAGGATCAGCCATCTCTCCACCTTGCTAAGGAAAGGGAGTGTCCGGCAGTTATGCTGATGATGGCATAAGGCCAGAGAACCCCTTTGTTATATCTCATATTCTGCCTTGGCTATAGCACCTGGGAAGAGGGGAGTGGGGTAAGTATTTCCTCATCAGAGAAAGTATATGTCATTACAACAAAGTATTTAGAAAGTGCTTTTTTTTCTGTGTAATTTATTGTTCTAGGACTTTTGGGAGATGCTCTCAAAGTATGTTTCCCTGAAATAGTTTATAATCTATTTGGGTATGTGGACCAGTTCTGCTGTTTTAAGGACCCGTGCTTAAGCTAGCAGGAGCAGTCCACCCATATAAGGAGAGATGATGTAAACAGAACATAGATTTTTGTGACATTAATTTATGATTGGCCCCTGACTTACTTTGCTGTATCTCTGCTTGACTTATATTGATGTTTTACCTCACCTTGTTGACTTTGAGGCACTCTGTCTTTTCAAGTTCGGCAGGCAGGTTGTTGTCTTCTCTGACTCTGATCCCTCTCATTCTGTTCCTGGTGTGGATGAGAGGAAAAAATGCCTCCCCCTGCCCAAAGAGGCAAAATCCCTTTGATGAAGGAAAACTGTTCCCTCTTCCTTCCTCCCTCCCTCCCTCCTTCCCTTCCTTCTTTCCTTCCTTCCTTCCTTTGCAAAATACATCGATAACTTTTGGAGGCCAGCAAATGTGAAAAGTGACTTCTGCCCTGGAGTATGATTTAGATAGGTTCACGTTAAACAAAGGGAGAGATGGTTTTCTCTGCCTGAAAACAGTAATAGGAAGAGGAGGGGAGGGGCTGAGGCCAGCTGAGAAAAGATAAGAAAGGAGGAGGGAAGAGAAACCAGGAAAGAAAGGGGTTGGTCAGCACTCTACATGAGATGTCAGGTGGTGTGCAACAACCTGAAAAGGACTTTTCATGTTTGATTTCAAATATCTTGATACACACTTGTGTTGGGGGGTTCTTTACAAAAGGGACAGAGGGGTATCCAACACAAGGTTCAGGATAAGAGATAGCATATGTAGGAGAGAAGATAAAGAACAGGTAAAGAGAACCCAGCAGGACAAGAAAATAAGAGCTAGAGGTACCCAGGATAAATGCAAGTAGTCCTTCCCTACTCCTTAATTCTTAGAAGTCTGGAGAGGGTGGTGGTGGTAATTCTGGTGGCTTTCTGTAGGTGGCCTCAGTATTGGCCTAAATGTAATTAAATCTTAGGTGGCAAGAAGACTCTATTGGACTGGAGGACTTTGGAAACATTCTTCCTGCTAGAATTTGGCTTATATGTGCTCTATGGAGTATGTTTTTAAGCGTTATGGCTTGCAAACAGACTTGTCATCTTCCATGAGGATCTTCACCTAACCATGATCCTAGGTACTGTCCTCTTCTCATATCTATCTCAGGGCCTCTAGACCCTGACTATCAGAGAAAATATGAATGTAAACATTTCAGCAGTGATCTCTGGTTAGAAGGGTATGAGAGATGTTTCATTCATATACGTCAAATGAGTGAGTGAGGACGTTGAGTGCATAAATCCTGACTGCAAAAATCTGATTCAGTGCCACTCAATTTCTACTTATAAAGGTTCTTCCTTGTGCCAGACATTGTGCTAGGCACTGCAGGAGTCGTGAAGGTGAGTCCTTGAGTCCAAGAAGTCAACTATTCAGGAAGAACTGCCTAAGCTTGCAAATGACTGTGATGTAAGGTCAAATGAAAAGTACCAAGAGAAAAAAATTTAAAAGGTGTTATAGGTCGCCAAAAGTGAGAGCATTCTTCTCTAGTTAGGGAGTAATCAGAGATACAGTCATGGAAAATTATTTGATATAGACCTTAAAGGATGGATAAAATTTTTACAAGCATTGTTGAGAAAGGGGAAGAGGGATTAACCACAGTCCCCCTCCCCGCCAAGCTTTCAAACAACCAACCACTCAATCCAACAAAGAACAAAATAGAGCCCAGAAGGAATAAGTAGTCCAGTATCGTCTGAAGAGAAGACATTTTCTAGCAACCACATGTATAGCTTAATTGCTTTGAAGAAAACTACCTCTAATATTTAACACTAATAGCAATGCTAACATGATAATAAAAATTATCTTTTAAAAATGTTAGGTATCAAATGTTTTAAATACATTATTCCATCTATACACAAAACACTTCAGGTGAACATTATCATTTTCATTATATACGTGAGAAAATTAAGAATCAAAGAGATTAAATTATTTGCCCAAAGTCATATGGCTAATAATTGTTACAGCCAAGATTAGTATCTGCCTGATACAAAAGTCCAGTTTACCATGCTAAGCTGTTTCTGAGCAGTTTCATAGATTTATTAAAAAGTAAACCATCAAAATTAGAGCAATGGAAACACATTTGATGTGAACTGTGCACTTTGGACAACACTTTGAGCAATGACACATATGCACCATGGGTTGTTTGCAGTTAGTAGACAAACTCTGGTTCACAGCTCCTCTTTATTGCTTGTCTTTTAAAACCGGGTGTTCCTCAGGGTACCTCTTTTCACTACCATCTCTCTTTCTCATCCCATCACATGGCTATAAGAACTATCTAAAGGCTGATGATTCCTGAATCTCCATCTCCAGCTTTGATCTTGTTGCAGAGGTTAAGAAGTACTATTCAACTGCCCATCAGCTTCTTTAGTGGAGGTCTTACTTCAAACTTGCAAACCAGGGTGTTCTGCTTAATAATTACACTAAGTTAACAGGCATAAACCAGGGTGGACTGGTCACTCTGCCTTAAGCTTCGATATATGCAAAACTAAACACACATTCAGTAAGTACGCCCTTTTGATTTTAACTCATTCATATCACTTACATTCATCCACAACTCTCATTCCTATTAGCACTACCCTCATCCAGGGCACTTACTGGACCATATTATTATAAAAACTTCCTAACAGTTCTCCTTATCACAATCTTGTCTCCTTTTATAACAAAGAGATGGTTTCAAAGCACAAATGTGATTTTTACTAGCTCCCTTTTGTAGTCTCTGTTATTTTAGGATGAAGTGTAAACTTGATTTAAAAGGTCTTTGAGATGTGGCCCTGCTCACTTTGCCAGAAATTCCCTTTATAGAGTAAGTTTCCTCATCTTTAAACTTTGTATCTCATTGCAGTTGCATTTCTTCCAGTTCCTTAAATACACTGTGCTGGCCCTCACTAGTGGGCCTTTCCACGGCTTTCTAAATTTGCTTTGGACACTTCCCTCCCTCTTTGTTTGTACCACCTTCAATTTTTCTACTGGTCCCCACTAAGAGGTTGCTTCCTCCAGGAAGCCTACCCTGACTCCCTCCAAAGATGTCAGGTGTTCCTCTTCTTACTCTACTTACCACTGCATCTATCACACCGTGTTGTGATTGCTGATAATAACCGTCTGTCTCTCCTGTTATATTGTAAACTCAGTGAGAAAAGGGGTGGTGCCTGTTTCTTCTTGCTGATTATTTCCATCAAAGAACCGTGCCTGGTATGCAGACTTCCTCTTTTTGTTGAGTGAATAAATAAAACTCCCATCTATTAAGTGCCATTCTGCAAAAGGCCCTATTCTTAGCCATTTCAACTCATTAATTTATTTAATCATGAAAGAATTCTTTCACTCTCATTATTTTATAGATGATGAGAATAAAGTTCAGAAAAATTAAACAACTCATCCAAAGTTATGTAGCTAATAAGTGGTAGGGCAAAAATTCAACCCTGGTCCCCAAGCCCTCATGTTGCACCATGACACTGTACTGCCCTACTGATAATATGGCAGTAATGAGTTAGTGCATTTAGTTGAATTTCATACAAAGTCTGACGTCTTTTGTCTATGGCCCTGTTAACTTCTGTTGTGCAATTTAGGGAAAAGTCACCTCCTTGAATACTCTGTAGTTTGAGAAGAATATTTGTTATATTTGCAAAATGGAATGAATTTGCAAGTTTTTTTCCCCCTTTTTCCACCCAAAAGAGGTCTGTGTCCTTGAACATAAAACACAAATAATCCCTGTGCTGTTAATTATTAGCAAGTCATCCCATTTGGAACATAAGGAAATAAAGTAACAGATATACCAACAGAAGATTACTAGTTAACAGGCATTGCTAGAGAAGACTATAAAAGAATTTCAGCATGATTTTCAATATTCTGCCCCCATCATCATCACCAACAACGAAATAGCTAGCAACCATGAAGTGGGAGGTATCAATTTTTTTAATTTTTCTACTAAATTTTACTGAATCCAGAACAATGCAAAAAAATGCATATGGAA